AGACAAACATTCTGCAACGCGTGGGAAAATAAGCTGAGGTCGTGTTTATACATTTTGTTGTGTGAACTGTTTTTGGCTATTCTAGATCTTTATTCCTTAGCTGGAGTTCTATTTTTCATCCTTTCTGGCTTTAGAACTTGGCGTTGCTGACTTGAAGTGGTGAAACCCCGACGGCCCGACAGCAGCTTCCGGCAGTCGTCGCAACGTGAAGAGCGCGGCTTGCGCAGCAATTGGCTGGTTCGGAGCCTGGAGCACTTGGGGCCGTTTGGGGGGGAGTGTCAGTGAACGCTTCTAAGTTGGACATGGCTAGTAGGTTGGAGGCCGTGGCGTATCCAATGAACGCTTCTAATTCTCACTTGTTTTCGTGCACACGGGTTGCCTTGTGAGGCTTGGACCGGAGTTCGGTCTGTTCCTCCCCCAGCACTAGACCTTGTGACCTTGTGCCTGGACACTCCCACAGGACGGTTCTTGCCAGCTGTGTTCAGGCCATATCTTGAAATCTTGCAAGACTGCTTGCGCAAGCCTCAGTCGAGCAGCTGTATGCAGGTGTTACTTTTACGCTTGTTGAGCAGCTGCTATTGTTCCCGTCAACTTCGGAGGAAAGACAAGTCCAGCCTCGTGAAGAAGAGGGCAATGGCAGCGCTGTCCGCCTGGGGTCCACCTGTAGCAAGTCAGGAGGCGGGAGAACTGAATTGATCGCTACTAGGAATAGGGGCTCCAGGCCTTACTACTAGGAGCAAGGACGCTACTAGTAACAAAGGGCATCGCTGCTAGTAACAAGAAGCTACTACGTGTTACTACAGGCCTCTGTAGGTACATAGAGCCGACCGCAGGTGGGGGCGCCTTGTTCGTTTCGGTGACTGTAGACATGTACAACTGACAAACGACGTGCTTTCTACGCTGGGTCTGGAGTTTTGGCTCAAGCTGGATCTAGCAGGCAACATGTCGGCAGCCCAACTGGTCAGGAAATTCAGCGCCAATTCGGACAGCCTTGCCCGACCCCTAGTTTTGAACGAGGGTTTCTTCCAGTGCTCCAGTTTGTTCAAAGGAACATCAGGAAAACGCGAAGACCTGTCCCTTGCAGCTGATGTGAGGCTCTGACTGCTTTCTCTAAGGGCAAGTCAAGGAAGTCAGAAAAGTGCACCTCTCAAATCTTTTTGGATCTCTTGAGATCAGATATGAGTACTTTTTAGCAATCAAAAGGGTGTGGCGAAAGGTGCTCTGGACCAACGAACCAGACATCAGGCAAAGTTGGGCCAGTCGAGAGCAGATGAATAGGGATGTGATGTGGTTCTTGACCGGAAACATGCATCTCAGGGATTCACTAAGTTTCAGTTCAGATTCTACTTTCTAAAGTTGAAGATGTTTGAAGGTTGCAGTTTTGTATTCGGTCCCATCTCTTGACTTCAGAGGCACTCTCCAGTTCTTGCGCGTACCGGCCGTTTTGGCGGTGGCTGCCTGGTTGGCACCTATCCCACTTGGAATGGGGTAGCGTCCTTAAAGCCTTAAAGCCAGGCTTTGGTCCACAGCAGCATCGTTTTCGAAGGCAATGCAGTACTGCATTGTACACCATCATTGTACTTCTCAAAACGTCTAGACAGCCCCGCGAATCAAAATGAGTTGCTCACAGAAGGGCCGAGAAGACAGACTTGTAACCTGTATGCCTACCAAAGACTGTTTGAACATAACATTTCATTGTATTAACTGTATTGTTTTGGGCACTTGATGTGGTGCTTTGGGCCTCAGGTGTGGAGTTTTGCTTCGCTTGGTGCATTTTGGGGGTGCTCTCCCTGCGCTCCTCGCAGCATTACTCTTCCGGCCACTGCCTCAAAGGTTGTCGTCAAGTTTGAGCTCCTCAAACCAATAGCGATGGCCTCCAACCCAATAGGAATGGCCTCCAACCTAGTAGCGATGGCCTTCACCCTAGTAATTAAGTATTTTTTCACGGAAGAGGCTGCTTTGTTGCGAAGATTCAAGCGGCATGAAGATAGCGAAAGGTCCTACGAACCAGTGTGCGTCATGTTTGCCGTACACCCTCAGCACTCGCATGCAACTAGCAAATGACTGTTTGACTCCGTGGATCCCCGCTTGGCCTGTTCTTCAGCCATTGCAGCGAAGAGATGGGCTCCCACGATGCTACCACATGTGTACTGTACTGCCAAGTGCAGTATAGTACTGCGTGAATGTCTTCATGATGATTCGACAATCGATGAATCATGAAATAGTGATTCATGTGGTTGAAGTGACCAGAGGCTGGCAGTTGTGGAAGCTCGATATGAGGGAGCAAGGTGCATCACAGGAAGCTTGATAGATTTCCAGCAGGTGATAGTTACTACACACAACCACGTCCAGAGAGACAAACTAAAATTTATCAATCTCCTCACACTTCTATCAATGAGTGTTCGGGTGCCATGGGTGCGGGCCTTTGCTCCGCACTTTGTCCCCAAACGGAGGGCAAACTGGGCAAACCTTCGACAACCCAGGCCCCCACGGGTGATGGGATCCGGGATCCGAGTCATGTTGTCGACTGAAGACCCGCCGAAGACTCGTTTTTTGATTCAATGTCATTCAATGAGGTCCTGGTCATGCAGAGATGTTTTCTGTTGAGTGGTCGTTTGAGTGGCATTGTCACCTTGGTTGCTCGTAGTTCCTTCTTTTGGCGCATTTTTTCAGTTCCTGGCCCAAGTTCAATGACACACTTTCACTTTCGTGTTCGTGGCCACTCTGTTTGTGAGAGTTCGTTTGTGAGGAAAGCAGAATTTGGAAGGGCACAGGGAAGCGATGCAAACGAGCGCCAGCAGGTACCCGTCATTGGCCACGCTGCGGCAGCATCCACGGTTGCCGAGCAACATGGTCCTCGCAAAGCGCCAAGTGCCGCGCCAAGTGCCGCGCCAAGTACCGCGCCATGAAGAGCAGCCTGAAAAACACACATTAAATTCCTTCTGCTTTCGGCGTTGGACTCTGACAGCTTCAAGGCCTTAGGGCTTAGCTTCATGCGTTTTTGTTGGCTAACTGCGAATGTCAGTCTTAGTGCCGAAATCCCATTTGGCTCCGTTCGTAGCGTCCTTGTTCCTAGTAGTAAGGCGAGGAGCCCCTAGTAGCATCCGATCGCTCCTAGTAGCGATGCCAGGAGCCCCTAGTAGCGATGCCCTTGTTCCTAGTAGGAAAGTAAGGCTGCCTTCCTCTTTTCCTGAAAGATGACGGTATTCTGTTTTTCTTGTTTCACTTTGTTGAGGTGATGGGCCGCAGTTGGGGGTGCTGCGAAAGAATGCGGAGGCAGAAGTCTGGCCAGTCCCCCATGTGTTCAGGTTTCAGTGCCTAAGGTGCCACCCGGATTTCGCTGTGATCAGAAAAGCGTTTTTCCACATAGTGGGCTCGTCCATGGACGCTTTTAAGTGCTCTGGTTCTGGAATTGTTCGCTAAAGCATTGTCCTGTGTCCAGGCAGCGATGGCCGAGATGGAGGCAAATTTCGACACAGGTTGCACGGCCAAGATTGGACAGTGCGACCGGTGCTTTTGTGTTGTGAGGGGACATGGAAAGTGTATTCGAGCAAGGCAAAGCTTCAGAAGACCATGCTAACATGCAAAAGAAAAGAACATTTACAAGAGGTGGATGGAGGGGTTAAGCCAACAGGGTGGAAAAAGAGGCAGAGAGAAAGAGAGAGAGAGAGAGAGAGTAGTGCATGCAGACGAAAATGCAGCAAGAAGGGATGCGGCCAGGAATCTTTGACTTTTTGCCAACGAACCCACCAGCAGCGACGGACGTGCCCTTCTTACAGTGCGTAGTTGCATTGCACCTTCTTTGCTTTTTATTTGTTTCCCTTTCTTTAGGTATTTTTTAAAGATCTTTTTTGCAGCAAGCATATCTAAATATGTATGGGTTGACTTTTCTAGTCTGTTTTACCACGCTTACGTTGATCAGGGTGAACCCAGAGCCTGCTGGGGGAGAGCGAACACATTTCGGCAACATGTAGTGCTGTGACGGCCTTGGTGATACGGTTGATACTAGCATTTTTTGCATCATGAACTGGGCATGACGACATCTTTTGCATTGTCAACTGGGCATGACGGCATCTTTTGGAGTGCCTTGGCAAGTATGCCAATATGAAACTTAGCACTTGCAGTATCTTAGTTTTTGTTCGTCACGCCAGGCCATGCGTGAAGTCAAGCCATTCGCGAACGGAAAGGCAGTGTGAGATAGTGTGATTTGCAAAGATCTAGATGCAGAGTCGAATAAAAAGCCTTTAAGCCGCACTCCTGGGTTGGCGCCCCGCGCGTTGTGATTGAGGGCCGTGTTGGGGGGAAAAGGTCGTGTCAAGGCTCCGTGCTGGGGCATCTGAAGAGCGGGTTTTAGCAGGAGGGGGGCGCGTGACAAAGCCGGAGGCTAACACTGATTTGTGGATGCAGGAACCCGTTTTTTTTGGGTTGGTGCCTTTTTGCGGTGTGCTTGAAGGCCGCCCCAAGGCAGACAGAGCTTCTGAGAAAATGGTTGCTAGCACCAAACCGTTTTCGGAAGAGACCTTGTGGAGGAGGGCCGTCTTGGGGCAAAATCAGGAAAAACGGGTTCTAGCCAGAAGGCCCTTGACAAAGCAGAGCACGGTTAGAGCAAATTGTCGCCGCATGTATTTTAAGCACGGCTGGAAAGAATCGACGGTGCAGGTGTAAAGACAGCGTTGTTGTTCTAAAGAGGCCAGATGCAGAGAGTCTGTGTTGGTGCGTCTGTTGCCTTTGAACACCGTCTCGGGCAAAAAAGGGCACCGCTGGGAAGGTGGGTGCTAGCAACAAGTTTCCCAGAAAAGACCTTAAGGCTTGAGGGGGAATTTTTGTTTGTACCCGTTTGCCGAAGCAGGGCGTTTCCGAAAAACACGCCCTAGCGAACGTTTTAAGGATGGCTGGTTTTCATGCCCTCACTTCTCAGGTTTGTCAATGTTAAATGAACATGGTTCACGCTACCACGTTTTTTATAATTGCAAGTTGTTAAGTTTGAAAAGAAGAGAGAAGGAAAGGGTCCGTATGCATTTCACTTTCAACAGGAAAGAGACGCAAGCACAAAAAAATCGTTTCACGTGCTTCTTTCAAAAATGGAAGGGTTCAACAAACCTCCCTGATTGCGTGTGGCAAGTCACAGGTTCAGCCAACCCTGGATCAAGTCCTTGGAGAGATTGGCCCAGGCTGTCGAGGGGCCCTTGGGGGGGGCATTCGGTGTTTGGTCGATCTTGGCTTTGAATACCCAAATCAGGGTTTGGAGTGTGTTCCGGGACCAGACGTGCGAAAAACGTGAAAGGCAAATGGTGGGGGTGTTGCTTGATTGAGGCATGCATGCCTGCCACGGTGAGCGTTGGGCGACCCACTTCTGGGACACTCGAAGCTCCTCCGCTCACTCAACGCCGCACGAACGTGAAGAAAAGCAGTCGGTTGATTCGAGCGTTGCAGTCCAGAGTAAATGGAATCTGAAAAACGGGAAGCAAAGACCTGGCAGGGCTGTTCAGCATGGCAGCACATCATGGTGCATGAAACTTCGCGAGTTTTGCCTTGCGATCCTGTTTTGCCCAGATCATTTCAACGACGGGCCTTGCTGGGCTAGGCGGGAACGATTTTCAATGTCATGAAGCTGGACTTGATGCTTTTTGGCGGCTAGCCATCTGAGGACAAAGTGACAGCTGAGTGCCTTGAGGGGG